AATGTGAAAAAGATGTAGGACTTAATTTTCTCAAATAATAAAATAATTCACTAGAAACAAAATAAACTTAGAGGATAATGACTGAGGTCCAAAACACACTGCAGAAATAATCCAGTTTGAGACTGTTTTAACTGCCCTGGTTTAGTGCTAGGGAATTCTGGGAAGTGTAGTTTATTGTGGCACCAGAGCTCTATGACAGAAAAGGCTAAATGTCTCACAAAACTACAGTTCCCAGAATTCTCTAGCATTGAGCCTTGGAAGTTAAAGTGGTCTCAAACTGGATTATTTCTGCAGTGTGTTTTGGATCTGAGACTTCTTCCCCCTTTTAAACCTAAGAAATAATATTCTGTACATTCCAGGGACTCATCTTTCATAATATGAGAACTGGTCTTTGATCCTCAAGCAGTTTAACTTAGTGCCAATTGTAATGCCTAACTTATTGAGTCCTTGATAATGGCAACAATTTTATTTAACAATAGAAAATAAATTATGTTTGTTTCTGCTTTTTAAAATATATACTTTTCTCCAGTATATTGATGATTTACATATGCTCTGGAAAATATTCAGTAATTTTCTAGCTTTGTTACAGTTACTAGCTTTTGAAATATGCCACTATGTATTTGGCAAATTACTTTGATGTCTTGAAAAACATTTTTGTTTTATTATTCCAATTGAGAGTTCACAAAATACAGGCATACCTGAGTTAACAAAGCTTCTGACATAGAAGCTCCTTTTTACAAACTCTTTTTATGACTGTCCACTCTCTCCTTTCCTCCTCTTCCAACTAGAAGGGTTTTGTTTTGTTTTTTAACAATATAAGCAGTGGGGGGATAGTGAAGGAAGGATGAAAAAATGCAGACTTTTGGTATCAGGTTTCAGCAGCATGTTTACAGAAGACAATGCAATAAACAAAGTTTGAGCTGGGAAAGAATGGGATTCTATTCTAGCTAACCCTACTGTCATTGTGTGTGCCTACATTTAACAAGCAAAGTAAAGAGCACCTGATCATATAGGTAGTGATTGAATCACTTGAACACAGTGCCTCCAGTTCTTACTCCATAAAATTGCTGTAAGAGGACAC